CTGTGGCTTGTATTTCATTCTCTTAAGACTTTCTTTCTTAAAGTAAACACTTTCACTTTCTAGAAAGTCCAGTTTATCAGTTTTATCTTTCATGGCTTATGCTTTTAGTGTCTTATTTAACAACTCTTTCTGTAAACTTGGGGCACAATTTTCTCCTTTTTTTTTCACCTAAAAACTTTATGGTTTTAGGTTTTACATTTTTATCCATGTTCCATTTTGACTAAATTTTTACATAAGGTATGATGTTTAGGTTGAGGTTCACCTTTTTTTTTGCGTATGGATGTCCAGTTGTTCCAACACCATTTCTTGAAAAGACTGTTTTTTTTTTTTTTTTTGCGATACACGGGCCTCTCACTGTTGTGGCCTCTCCCGCTGCGGAGCACAGGCTCTGGACGCGCAGGCTCCGCGGCCATGGCTCACAGGCCCAGCCGCTCCGCGGCATGCGGGATCCTCCCAGACCAGGGCACGAACCTGTGTCCCCTGCATCGGCAGGCGGACTCTCAACCACTGCGCCACCAGGGAAGCCCAAGACTGTTTTTTATTTTATTTTTCTATTGACTCGCATTTGTACCTTCGTCAAAAATCGAATGACCGTATTTGTGTGGCTCTGTTTCTGAATTGTTCTTTTCCATTGATCTGCGTGTCAATCTCTTTGTCAATACCTTACTATCTTGATTACTGAAGCTTTATTAATTCTTAAAATCAATTTTGCCTTTCTATATAAATTTTAGAATCAGTTTGTCTGAATCCACAACAATTTCTGCTAGGATTTTGGTTGGAATTGTGTTAAATATATAGATCAATTCAGAGAGAATTGTGATCTTTATTTTTTATCGAGGTACAAGTCCCATTACATATAATTAAACATTTTAAAGTGTACAGTTCAGTGGCATTTTAGTGCATTCACAATGTGGTGCAACCACCACCTCTGTTTCCAAGATATTTTCATGGGCCCAGAAAAATACCCGGGATCCATTAAGTAATTGTTCCCCATGTTCTCCCCTCCCCTCATCCCCTGGTAACCACTAATCTGCTTTTTGTCCATATGGATTTGCCTATTTGGGATATGTCATATAAAGTAATCATATAGTTTGTGACCTTTTGTGTCTGGCTTCTTTCACTTACCATGTTTTTAAGGTTCATCCAAGTTATAGGATGTATCAGTATTTTGTTGCTTTTTATGGTTGACTTAGTATTCCATTGTATGGTTATACCACAGTTTATCCATTCATCTGCTGATAGGCATTTGGGTTATTTCCACCTTTTGGCTGTTATGAATAATGCTGCTGTAGACATTTTTGTGCATGTTTCTGTGTGGACACATGTTTTCATTTCTCTTGGGCATATACCTAAGAGTAGAATTGCTGGGTCATATGATAATTCTGTGTTTAACTCTTTGAGGGACCACCAAACTGTTTTACACAAGGACTGCAAGAGAATTGTCACCTTAGGTATATTGAATCTTCTAATCTGTGTACATGGTATGTTCCTCCATATTTACTCTTTTAAAAGTTTCTTTCATCGGTGTCTCATAGTTTTCAGCATACAGGTCCTACACATGTTTTTTGTTGGATTTATCCCTGAGTTGCGTATTTTTTGGAGATACTGTAAATGGTACCTTTCTTAACCTTTGGTTTCCAACTGTTTATTGCTAGTATATATAAATATGATTGATTTTTGTGTGTTGACCTTGTATCTTGCAACCTTGGTAGCTCACTTATTAATTCTAGGAATGTTTTGTATGTTCTTGGTATTTTTTTGTCTAGATGATCATGATCATGTCATGTGCAAGTAAGTACAGTTTTATTCCTTTCTTTCCAATCTGTATGTCTTTTTTCCTTCTTGCCTTTTTGTTCTGGCTAGGATTTCAAGCACGATGTGGTGAGAGTGAACTAACACCCTTGCCTTGTTTCCAATCTAAGGGGGAAGGCATTTAGTCTTTTCATTATTGTGATATTATCTGTATAGGTTATCAAGTTAAGGAAGTTCACTTCTATTCCTGTTTTGCTGAGAGGTTTTTTTTTTTAATGAATGAATATTGAATTTTCCCAATGTTTTTATTCCACCAGTGGATATAATCATGTGGTTTTTTCCCTTTAGTCTGTTAATATGGTAGGTTACATCAACTGATTTTCAAATATCAAACCAGAATGGAAATCACAGGATAGACCTTAATTGCTCATGGTGTATTATTCTTTTTATATATTACTGGATTTGGTTTACTAGTATTTCACTGAGGATTTTTGTGTCTGTGTTCATGAAGGATATTGGTCTATAATTTTCTTTTCTTGTACTGTCTTTAGTTTTGGTATCAGGGCAATCAATGCTGGCCTCAAAGAATGAGTTGGGAAATGTTCCCTTCTCTTCTGTTTTCTAGGAGAGATTATGTACAATTATTGGGGTTTTTTAAATGTTTAGTAGAATTTTTGTGTGAAACTACCTGGGCCTAGGGATTTCTTTTTTAGGCTTTAACTATGGATTTATTTTCTTTAGTAGATATAGGATTGTTCAGGTTTTCTGTTTCATCTTGGGTGAATTTTGACAGTTCATGGTATTCAAGGAATTGGTCCGTTCTAGCTAAGTTGTAGAATTTATGAGCAGAGAGTTGTTTGTAGTATTCCCCTATTATCCTTCTAATGTCTGTGAAGTCTTTAGTGACATTTTTTATCTGATGTTATTTTATTTTTTTATTCTTTTTATTTTTATTCTTGATGTTAGTAATTTGTGTCTTTTTCTTTGTCATTCTTGCTGGCATCTTATCAATTTAATTGATCTTTTCAAAGGACAGTTTTTTAAATTAATTTTTATTGGAGTATAGTTGCTTTACAATGTTGTGTTAGTTTCTACTGTACAGCCAAATGAATCACCCATACATGTATACATATATCCCCTCCCTTTTGGACTTCCTTCCCATTCAGGTCACCACAGTGCGTTAAGTAGAGTTCCCTGTGCTATACAGTATGTTTTCATTAGTGATCTATTTTATACATAGTATCAATAGTGTATATGTGTCAATCCCAATCTTCCAATTCCTCCCACCCCTCCTCTTTGCCCATTGGTATCCATACATTTGTTCTCTATGTCTGTGTCTCTATTTCTGCTTCGCAAATAGGATTATCGATACCATTTTTCTAGATTCCACATATGTGTTAATATACTGTATTTGTTTTTCTCTTTCTGACTTACTTCACTGTGTATGACACTCTCTAGGTCTGTCCATATCTCCACAAATTACCCAATTTCGTTCCTTTTAATGGCTGAGTAATATTCCATTGTATATATGTACCACATCTTCATCTGTTCCTCTGTTGATAGACATTTAGGTTGCTTCCAGAGACATGATTATTTTTGATCATATTTAAGACAGTTGATTTAGAGTCTTTGTATAGTAAGTCCAATGTCTGAGCTTCCTCATGGACAATTTTTATCAATATTTTTCCTGTAAATGGGACATAATTTCCTGTTTCTTTGCATGCCTTATAATTTTTGTTTGAAACCTAGACCTTTTGAATATTATAATGTGATAACTCTGGAAGTCATATCTTCCTTCTTCCCTAGAGATTGCTGTTGTTGCTTATGGTGAGCTACAGTTATCTATTTATTTAATGACTTTCCAAATGAGTTTTTGCAAATACTGTGTTCCTTGTTGTGTGTGGTCACTGAAGCATCTGTTCCATTGCCTCAGCAGTCAGCTGAGGTTTCCTGACAGAATTTTCCTTAAATGCCTTAATTAAGCAGGCTTTTCTTTGTTAAGCATCCCCTTTGTTGTTATAAGTTTTTGATTGGATTCCAGAGTCCCCAAAAAGCTGATTATTGTAGTTTTTGACAGCTTAATGGTTGCTTAAGTGGAGGGACAGATACTTGGAGCTCCCAACTCCATCATTTTTGGAGGAGGCATCACTCCTCCCACCCTTGTATTTTTTTTTTTTTTTTTTTTTTTTTTTTTTTATGTCCGGGGGCTCAACTCTGTTACCAGTAGTCATTTCTTTCTAGGGACAATTAATAAATTGAAAAAAAAATTTTTAATGAGTCAAAGAGGTGTTTTACTTCTTTGCTCAAGGAGGAAGGCCTGAAAAATGGACTCATTTTCCTACAGAGAGACCCTTCTGGAAGGAAGTAGGAGACTGGATTCCTCTGATGAAGTAGAATTCTAGAGAAGTTTGAAGCTGATCAGTAGGAGGAATGGGAGTAGTCATTAGGAGGAAATATTCACTCTCACTTTGCTTCTCTTTTAGGTTTAGCAGTAGCAGAGTTTGACCTCATCAGTAGGACCTTTCTAGACCATTTTCCTATTAAACTGTATAGGTGTTGCATGTGTATGATAAAACTGGATGTTTCTATGTATTTATATAGGTTGAGATACTTATTATGTGTGTTTTGTCATTCGCATCATTCAGTTATAATAATCTTGTTCCCAATTCAGCCTAAGTGGTCTTTTTGTTTCCTTTGTGTGAATGTGTGAACCATTTCTTTTTCCATTAATTCAGCAAACACTTACTGAGCACCCACTCTTCATTATGTTCAGCTCCCTTAGTTTAAAATCAACTAATACATATCCTTGCCCTCACAGTAAATTGGGGATGACATTTACTAATCATCTCTTAAATACTATGTAACAACTCCAATAGAGGTATGCACAGAATACTGTGGAGAGTTGAGGACGCATCTGAATGAGATTAAGAGAAGAGGGAAGGCTTCTTTAGGATGTGAATCTAAAGCTGAATTTTGTATGGTCATTAACTCATGAAGTTACTCACTAAATGGATGTTGGGTGAGTGAAATCAGAGTTAGGTGATGCTGGGAGAAGGACATTTGCAGCAAGGGTACAAAAGTAGAAAGACATGAAAAGTATGTGGCATATTCAAGAATTCCTACAGTTGAGTATGGATTAAGTAAAGGGTCCACTTGTAGTGGGGTGGGAGGAGCTCAGGTGGGTATCATTCTGTCATCACCCTTCTGGATGAGATCTCATTTTACCCTGCTTTTCCCTCTCACTGCAGTTTACCCTTCCCTGGAGTCTGACGATGATGACCCTGCTTTGAAATCTCGACCCAAGAAAAAGAAGAATTCAGATGATGCTCCATGGAGTCCTAAAGGTGATCCAGTATTCTGTCCTTAAACTCTGTGGGGGTGGTTGGGGGGAAAATATGTCCCACTGGCTAGGTGGGACATTTAATATAGGAAGACACTCATGTGTTTATTCAGCAAACATTTGATGAGTGCCTGCTGTATGCCAGGTACCATGTTAGGTGCTGGAGCAAAAATGGATCAATAAGACACAGAGTTTGTGCACTCAGGTCAGCAAAATCAGAGGTAGTGGAGCATGTTGCTTTTGATATTACATGGCTTGAGATGAAAAGAGGAAGACCTTGAGCAGATTTAAGCAAGCAGTCTAAGGCTCCTGAGAACATTCTGCTACCATCATCCCAGCCCTTTGATAATAATATTGTTGTCAAAGGAGGGAAATTCTGCTGTTGAACTCTACAAGGCCCAAGACTCCTTAGATTGTTACCTGTACTGGCTGAGAGGCCATCTCTGAGGAGGGAAGAATGAATGAGTTTTGAGATGAATATGGAATTTAGAGGGTAATAAAAGAATTTTATTCGTCTCCCTGGCTGGGTGTTTTTTTCATTGGAGGGTATGTCAGTTGGCTTTTGCTGAATCAAACTATCTAAAACTTAGTGTCTTAGAACAATGGTTGATCATTTCTCATGATTCTGTAGGTTGGCTGAACTATTGTTCTAGTCTGGACCAGATTGCCTGGGGCTGGATGGTCTAAAAAGATCTCTTTCAGGTGTCCAGGACCTAATTTGGGGTGTCTGGGGCCTCTCTCCATGTGGTCTTTCACCCACCTGAAGGCCAGCCTAAGCTTTTTCACAAGGTAGCAGAAGGGTGTCCAGCAGCAAGAGAGGACAAACCCAATATGCAAGCACTTTTCAAGCCTCTGTTGTGTCATGTTTTCCATTGTCCCATTGCCAAAGCAAGTTACATGGCCAAGCCTTGATTCCAAAAGTGGAGAAATAGATTCTATCTCTTGGGAGTGGGAACTGCAAAGTTTTCCTATGCACACAAGGACATGTGAGCAAATTAAGAGCCATTACTGCAACAGTCTGCCACAGAGGGTGCTGGCATCGCAGTACCCCTGTGGTTCCCCAGGAAATAAAGGGTGTGCTGTCCCCACCCAGCCTTATTTGACCTTTCTGGTATTTGCTTGGGATTGGAGGAATGGGGTGGCAGGGCAGTCCTGAAAAGTGTTCTCTTAGTGAGTCAATCAGCAAATGTTTCTTTTTTCTTTCTTCAGGCCTATTTTCTGATTTTATTTGCTCCTATACTTTCTTGCTTTTTAGCATAATAGGAAATTTGGAAAATAGAGGAAAGTATAAAGAAGAAATCACCCATGATTCTGCCACCCAGAAGCAACCACTGTTAAGGTTTTCTTTTTTCTTTTTTTTTTTTGCCGTACGCGGGCCTCTCACTGTTGTGGCCTCTCCTGTTGCGGAGCACAGGCTCCGGACGCGCAGGCTCAGCGGCCATGGCTCACGGGCTCTGCCGCTCCGCGGCATGTGGGATCTTCCCAGACCGGGGCACGAACCTGTGTCTCATGCATCGGGAGGCGGACTCTCAACCACTGCGCCACCAGGGAAGCCCCATTGTTAACGTTTTGACATATTTCCTTCTAGTCTTTTTTCCTATGCATTTTTCTTTTTATGGTTGAAATCACAGTCGTATATCCTACTTAAAAATTTTTTTTGCCTTTTAATCAAAATAATGTGTATATCTGGTAGCAAACCAAATAGTACAGAGAGGTTTAGGATGAAATGCAATGGTCTTCTGCCTCTGCTTTCGCTACTTCCAATCCCTTGCCTGAGAGGCAGCCTTGTCATTTTCATTTTTCTGGTAGTTGCCTCCAAAACTCAAGATAATAGGGTTTATACCACCATTTCTTGATTTATTAACCTTTTTTTGATTTTTTTAAATTGGAGTATAAGTTGCTTTACAATATTGTGTTTATACTGTACAGCAAAGTGAATCAGCTATACATATATACATATATCCCCTCTTTTTTGGATTTCCTTCCCATTTAGGTCACCACAGAGCATTGAGTAGAGTTCCTTGTGCTATACAGTAGGTTTTCATTAGTTATCTATTTTATACAAAGAATCAATAGTGTATATATATCAATCCCGATCTCCCAGTTCATCCCACCCCCCGCCCTTTCCCCCTTGATTTATTAACTTAACCTCTGTTTCTCCTCCCATCGGCTTTTGTCAGTCTCTCTTGATTACCCACTTTCTAAGATATGGACATTAGTGCTGCTATTCTTTCTTTCTTCCTCCAACCTTCTATAAGCTGTACTTTTTTGTTTATATTGTCAAGGTTGTTACCATTGACTTGTAATTAATACTCTATGTTGACTAGAGGTTGACTGTAAAAGTTGAAAACCAGTAAATATATCTGGCCTTTTAAATTAATATATCATAAGCATATCCTTGTGCCGTTATTTATAAATAATACTTTAATGGCTACAAAATATTCTATCCCATGCATATACCTAATTTACCTTACCTCTTTAATGTAGGTCATTTAGCCGATTGCCAAGTGTTTACAATTAGTGGTAACATTTGGAGTGAACATTTTTGTATGTAGGTGTTTGTATCTCTATTTATATGCATAGGATAGATTCCCATGAAACTCTCAAAGGGCCAAGGTATATAAGGATGTCCAGTGAAAAGTCTCCCTCCCACCCCTGTTCCAGCAGCCTTCCAATTCCCCACCTGGAGTCAGCCACTATTACCAATTTTATGTGTATCCTTTTAGACGTAGTTTATCCATATACAAATAAATGCATGTATATATTTTCTTTCCCCCTCTTAACTCAATTGGAGACATACATTGCATATGTTATGTGCTTTACTTTTCTCACTTAACAATTACATGTTGGAGATTGTTTACACTCCCACAAACAATGCATGAGAGTGCTTATTTCCCTA